CTCCTTGATGGGTTGCGCCGTCGCAGCCTTATGATGAAAGTCGTACAGCACTAAGTAATGCAACCTCGACGATATGTACCTATCACCCGCTACCTTCATTATATCTAGAGTATCACTGGCAGCACTATTTACACTGTTCATCGCGCGAACCAACGACGACGAGCTCGCGAGATCGCTCGAGGCGGCCCACACATTCTCTAAAGTTCTTAATTGCGAGGGATTATTAACTGTCACTGTGACCCCGCACACTAAGCACGGTCGAATTTTATGCTCTGCCGTCTCGATGTTCGCGGACGACGAAGTCGTGGAGTTAGTACTTTTCGCTTCCTCTTTCAGGGTCGCCGGAGATCCCACCACCGAAAGCGCGGTAACCTGCACTTTATAGAACGACGAGGGTTTGTATTCCGAAAGTGGATCCGAGTCCGAGCCTAGATTCGTTAAATATGGAGGCGTCAAATTTCTCGCGGCACAAAACTGTATCGATTCCTTATTGTTTATTTCTTGATCCAAGGGTGATATATAAAATGATACTTCTCTCTGCAAAATAATGATATATATTATATTACTTCATTATTACTTTATAAATCACTCTATATTACTTTTCTCGCGTAGCTTACCTTTAACTGATTCGTTATGTTCCAAATATTTACAAAACCATTGGAAGAGGCTGTAGCCGCGAGGCCTGTGACATTAGTAGTACCTATAACGTCCACCGTATCGCCTGCCTCGCGAGCGGGAGCCGTTGCGAGGGTCACGGATAACGGAACATTCTGCGTATATTCACCCTTAACGAAGGGACACGCGGGCGAATGCCTTTCATGCTCTGACCATGGCTCGTCTGTGGGCTCCCAACATACCAAGCACACGTTGCAAGTGAAACACATCGCTCTATCATCACCGGTAGCATTCGGCTCGTGATAGAAACCAGCCTGCGCCATTTGGTCAGGTAAAGCCCATCTGAAATATACGTTCAATTACAATTTTATGGCTGTATTGTAAGTCCAACTGCATCAATCGCTCTAAACATGAATATAGAAGAATATTAAAAAAAATTGTGGAATAAAAGTGATTATGTCACTATCTAGATTTGACAAAAACACTCGTGACACGATGACATACTTGTAATTCATGTGTGGCCATTTTGGAAAAGTATTACGACGTGCTGCTTCGCTAAACATTAACGCTCTATCAGTGGGACCACCTTCCAACGCAAGACTAGGCAATAGGCCATTTAGTCGTTCATTGATCGCGGAGGCAATGGGCAGTGCTGCTATATGCCGATTTTGCCTCTTTAATTCCATCACCAAACCAGAACAGACGAGTTTCAAAGACCCGTGCGGTAGCTCCAAACATATCGTATTCCACTGTAATTAAAATTTTGCATTATTTTTATATGCGGACTTTTAACACTGACACGTATTAGTGCTACATATATGATATAAAATTTACTAAATAAATGTGTATCTTACATACATACATTATTTATAATATTAAATTGCATTAATTTTTATTCAGCAGAAAATATATATCAAGTTATTTACAGCAATATCTTTAATTATTTCTCACAATCATATTACCTAACACAAATTTAGACCAATATTAAATATCTCTGTAATCAGCTGTTTAATTTAATCTCTTTTAAAATTAAACTTGTTCAAAATCAATTGACTAAAAATTATAATTTATATATATTTATAAAGATTAAGTTACTAAAAAATACTTTAGGTTTCTAACAAACACATCTTTAAAATAATTTCTTTACTTTTAAATTCTCGTCACAAACATCTATGATAACTACAATAATATTGAGATACATCCAACATATAAAATAATCAATTTTATCAACTGTGCATGTACTTACTTTTTGAGCTTTGATACCCTTCTTCTGGTTCGCTTGTGCCGTAACAATTTTACTCGATAGTTCCTGCAGCACCTCCAGCAAGTGTTCTACACCTGGCAACTCCACACACTGTAGGCATTGAAGCAGTATCGTCGCCTCGGACAGCAACAGCTCCAGCTTCACGATATCTTCGCTCTTAGAAACCGGGGTTTGCAAAATTGTATCCAACAGCAAGACCCCATTGTAATCGCTACGTATCCCAATCCCTCGTCCGTCCGTATACAGCACTTTGTCCACTCCATCCGATAAGTATATCCCTTGCAACTTCCCATTTGGTTTACCTGTAACAATCGCAATTGTGATATAAATATAAGCGTCTTACAATTTTTTTCACATTTTGTTCTCAATAATAACATATTTCAATAAATTGCAAATTAGTACATTATATATCTTAATAAAAATTTGTAAGAAGCATTATATTACACAAAACCGTGTACTTTCATTTTAATCACTGCATAAATTGCTAGTATTAAATATTACAATATTTTTGTATTATCATACTATATCATAAAATTGTTTGAACGTTTATATAAACAATACATATTTTATTTCCCATAAATACTAACATTTTGCTATATCTTTAATATAATCTTAGGATAATTAAGCACAGATCTTATAAGCGTCGTTTTACAAACATGAGTCACAATTTTTTAAACGCCTCGATTTTGAGAAACATTCCACATTTTTATTTTTCATACTGAAGAATGCTTCCTTACATGCAGGCATGTAAGAACGAAGAAATCATTCATAAAAAATCTTATCTCTGGGTACCGACTGAAACGGACCGAGGCAATTTGTAAAATAGATAGAAGAGGCTCTTCTCCCAGAACAATAACAAAGAACGTTATCGGAATACCACGCGATCATAGACGATAATCATTAGATTTATCTGCTTTAATCGCACCGCGTGCATTTTTTTAAAACACACTAATTTATTTTCGCGCCACGCAGAACAAAGGAACGGGGGAAAATTTCGCGGGCGGAATGGAACGGGCCGCGCGCGAGATCGTCTCCTCGTCACAGCCTGCGGATCGCGCGGGGGATGAAAAACGGCGAAGAACGGGGGGGTGCCGCCTCCGAAGGCGGCGGCCTCGCGCCGAGGGATCGCGACGAGGAAGCGTCCTCGTCGCGCGCACTCGGGAAACGTGCGCGACCTTGGGGGAGCGAGCCGTGCGTTATTGCACAGTATTCCGCAAACGGACACGGACAGCCGCGAGAGAGACGGCCGAGACGTGGACGACGGACGTGTTGGGCGCCGACGGACGGGGCGGCGACTCCCGGCGTCGGCGACCCGCGGGCGGGGACCACCTCTCTCACCCCTTCCTCCCCCCCGCGCGCGTGAATCGATCCGGACGGCGTGGAGCCGCATGCTCACCCGACAGGGAACTCCTCTGCAGGATCACGCCGGAGTTGACATCGAACACGTATACTTGTGCGCTGCCAGTGGTGATGAGCAGAACGTTTAGACTGGCGTGATAGATTATGCTCTTGCACTCGGTGTCCACGTTCAAACAGCCGTCTTCCTTCAGCAGCCACGGGTCATCATCAGCCATTTTTGCTCTCGCGCGCGGATCACGCTTTTTCCGAAAAAGTTTTCTTCTCTCTCAACGCTCGGACATCACGAGAAACATGGCGCACTCGTCAACGCCATCTTTGAGTGGAACGTCAGCAGACCGCTCTGAACGCGGTCGACTATCGTTTCCAATCGTTTCTGCCCCCCACCCCCTCCGGGGTGGCGATCGATCATTCCGCGCCGCGTTGTATATCGAGCATTCGATTCCCGGAACGATTCACGCTGTATAAATTCTTTATGGCTGTTACACACCGGACGCGATAATTATACAGAGATCCGCGTAGCTGTGTAAAAGGAAAAAAGAGGAGCACGCGTAAAAAGATGCACCGGTCACGCGCGGATGTTCCAATTAGTTCTGCTCCGAGCTTTATTCTTACTCCGATGTATCGACGATATGACGTGGCGCGAATTGAAAAGGACTTCGACCGAACTTCGATTTTAAAACATCGGCGCTCGACGTGATTGCTTGCAACAATTAATTGGATTTCTAATTGTATAATTTGTCGCTCCTAATTCTCGATCTTTGTTTCCCGTTAAACAATAAAAAATAAATTTATGTTATAGAAAATAACGAGGATGTTACTTAATTAGTCAATCAATTAAATGAAACTATAATATTCAAGTTATTGTTACATAATTATTAATATTTAGACTTTGATCAAATTACAGTTAAATGATTAATTTATACATAGAATCGCTTAAAATAAAAATTTTTATTATTTAATTTAATTATTAATTTTTTTCGTTGTTTTCAATTTAATTTTCCTCTTCCTAGACACGATTGACTTTTGGTTTTCATGAGTCAAAAATCTGAATTTTCGGCATCGGAATTATTAGAAATGTGGGAAATTTTTGGAATTGTCAGTTAATGCGACTTATGTTTATTTCTATCAGCATAGTTTTTTGTCATAATCGTAAGGCCGTAAGAAAATAGACCAATCACAGTCGATTATTCTCCTTGAGCTCGAAAA